GATAAATACCCAGTGCTCCTCCTGAGCCAAAATACCTGGGGGATTGATACCCAGTGCTCCAACTGAGCCAAAATACCTGGGGGATTGATACCCAGTGCTCCAACTGAGCCAAAATACCTGGGGGATAAATACCCAGTGCTCCTACTGAGCCAAAATACCTGGGGGATTGATACCCAGTGCTCCTCCTGAGCCAAAATACCTGGAGATAAATACCCAATGCTCCAACTGAGCCAAAATACCTGGGAGATAAATACCCAGTGCTTCTACTGAGCCAAAATACCTGGAGATAAATACCCAGTGCTCCAACTGAGCCAAAATACCTGGGGGATGGATACCCAGTGCTCCTCCTGAGCCAAAATACCTGGGGGATAAATACCCAGTGCTCCTACTGAGCCAAAATACCTGGGGGATAAATACCCAGTGCTCCTCCTGAGCCAAAATACCTGGGGGATAAACACCCAGTGCTCCTACTGAGCCAAAATACCTGGGGGATAAATACCCAGTGCTCCAGCTGAGCACTGCCAAAGCAGGGCCTGAAGCAGCTCTGTGCTTTTTTTCTCTGGCACATGACAGACTGGCACCTTCAAGGCTGAAAGAGTTTTTCCTAATGCAGGAATTTGGGACAGAATATAAGGTTTAGCAGGGTGAATGTATTGGACTGTGTTCGGGGATAAATGTATCCTGGTCAGTAGTAGCTGTAATTMTCAAATGAGCAGTTCCATGTTTGAATACCAGCACAGACACACATGTGTGCAGACTAAGGGTGTTGTGATCTTTTTTTTTCTTCTTATTTTAGGGTGTGACACTTCAATTTTTCTTTCCTTCCTRGAGAGCTCAAAGTACTTTTAAAAGGACTGAATTTCTGTGCAATAGAGCTGATGGGCAAACACTCAGAAATGCAAAATAAGGAATGCAGTCACGGTTCTAAAACCATCTCCCATTCTTCAGGCTGATGGCAGTTGTGTGCATTGACAGTAATCCTTCCTAATCCCCTGCACGTGTTTTATCTTTGTACACCTKCTGCCATTGCCTCACTGATCAGTTTGGAAAACTCAGAACACAGCTCACAAAAAGGCAAAGCAGCAGAACAAAGCCTGGGTTGCATTTGTGCATTGTAACACCAAACACGGGTGGAATTGTCAATGTTCAGGGTCAACATCCTCCATGAAGAGAAGTTTCCTCCTTCTCCCCAGCTGATGTGTGCCTGTTTGTGTTCCTCACAGGCTGACTGAGGCACACAGGACAGCTGTCAGAGTCATCAGGAGAATGCAGTATTTTGTGGCCAGGAGGAAATTTCAGGTAAGCAGCAGTGTGAACCTCAAAAGCATCTCTTGAGATGGTGGGATGTTGGAGGTGCTCTCAGAGGAGGATTCTCTCCGTGAATGGGGTTGTAAGGAGTCAAGGGCATTGCTGAAGCTCTTGATCTCACACCTTTGGTGGGTTTTTTAATGGTGTGGCCAAAATGATCAATGATCCATGGCTGTAGTAGGGTACAAACCCTCGAATTGTGGAGTCACCATGGGGTTTTTTAATTTCTCTCTTTTTGCTGCACTTATTTTTGGGGTTCTGTTTGTTTTAATGAGCTGGCCAATACTTGCCCATCCACTAGCAGAAGTGAGGGAAACACTGGTTTTGGGATGAAAACACCCATGTTGGGATGTGTGCAAAAATCCTGATCATAACAAGAGTGTTCCCAATCAACTGCTCTGCTGGGGAATGTTCAGTTCCACACCATGGATGGCTGACAGATCAATAGGATTCACTCATGAGCACCATGGGTGCAAAGCTGCTTTCACACTTGGAGCCCACATTCCAAATGTATCTTCCAGAAAGGGACATCACAACATCATAGGCCACATTTTRTGAAATTGTGGAGCATCTTCCTTCTGGAAATTTGCTGTCTTTGTGAAATGTTCAGTTCATTTTCTCAGTCAGGTTACAGAATGCTCAGATTAAATGTGCTGCACTGGAAATAATGTTTCATTTTGCTGGTTTAGTGAGACTTACTATGATAAAACTTGTTTGGAATGTGATCCTGATATCATCATTCTCATCATCCATGGGCTGGAAATGCCATGGAAATGAAAAATTAACCTCTGGACTGATTTTCAAAGCCCTCGTTATTTCCATCTCAAGRTTCATGCTTTTCTGTCCAAGAGCATCCACTGCAAGTTAATGGCCTTTCATAATCCTTTTGAAGAGGTTTAAAAAAATGAATGAAGAACCTGCATTACAGGGAAGTTTGATTAAAGCTGAGCACTTAAATGCAGGGGATAGAAGTCTGAGATAAGCTYCCAGCACTCAGAAGACTCTGAATTAGGGCAGGCAGAATATCTCATACATTTCCTAATCTCATGCAGACATGTACCTTCAGATAACCCTACCTTTTGAAAGTAGATTARGAGAAGTCATTTTGTTAAACTCAGCAAAAAAACAGAGCTGGATTATTCTGTAAATACACCAGAGAGATAAACACCATGGGAAACGTAAAAAAAAATAAAAAATAGAGACACCATTTCTGGAAAATACGATCAGTTTATAAATGAGTTAGGCTAAAAATTAGGATATTTCAATCAACAGAATTCTKAAGATATCAGCCAGTAGCAGTCATGCCAAACCTTAAAAACTGAATTTCAACAGTCTCTGGAGAGAATTYTCTGAGTCAGTGACAGGGAAAAAGAAGAAGAAGGAATAATCTTCTGTTTCTTCCTTTCTTGGGGCCATGAAATACAGTTTATAATGCTAATTAGATTTTGGAAGTTCAAAGCTGGATAATATTATTTAGTTTTGCATGCTGAATGTGGAATACTGAGCTCAGATGGCCAGGATTGGGGATTATGGACAGAATGGAAGTTGAAGGAGTTGTTCAAGCTCTGCATTTAGCACACGTCCCTGGGARCCCATTACCTCCTGGCTTTGGTTGGATCCTTCTAGCATTTCCTAATAAAAACATGACAGGCGATTGTGCCAAAGTTTGGCAGGCCATGAGGTGCCCAGATCTGCAGCTTTATGGGAAAAGAGGAGAGAAAAAYGGTGAAAGCTGGAGGGATATTTTTACTGAGCTGCAGAGAGGACTCAGGCAGATCACAGAACTTTGCAAACACAGGATTCGAGCTGATGGTTTGGTACAAGGGACAACAGAGAGAGGATTCCTTTTGAGGAGCAAAAGAAATTTCRTTGGGAATGAGTAAATGAATTCTGCACAGAGCAGAATGGGGGAGAGGGGAGGGGGAAACTCCCCAGCACATCCAGGCTCTGTGCCATGCACGGTGGTTAAATAGAGAGTCCAAAGGAAAGGACACGGGATTTCGCCAAAATGCTCTCCAAGCACCCCCACTGGTCCATCTAAAGCGTGAATCTGGCACTGCTTCTCGGGGTGAGGACAATGGGCTGCTTTTGTGGCCACAAATAGTGATGTGTCAGCGTCTGCACAATGTGGGGCTGGGCAAGGGGGAGAAAAAACCCCAAAACCAAATGAGAAACTGAGAGCTGCAACCTGCCTCCCCCACAAAGCCTCTTGTCCCAAATGCACACAAATGCACTCAAATAAACATGAATGTACACAAACACACTCAAATGCACACAAATGCACACAAACACACACAAATGCACACAAATTAACACGAACACACCCAAATGCACACAAACACACACAAATGCACACAAATGCACTCAAATTCACACAAATGCACACAAATGCACACAAATGCACACAAACACACACAAATGCACACAAATGCACACAAACACAAATGCACACAATTGCACACAATTGCACACAAATGCACACAAACACACACAAATGCACACAAATGCACTCAAATGCACACAAACACACACAAATGCACACAAATGCACACTCACACCCCTCCAATGCACACAAATGCACACAAATGGACATGAATGCACACAAACACACACAAATGCATACCAATGCACACAAATGCACTCAAACACACACAAATGCACTCAAATGCACACAAACACACACAAATGCATACAAATGCACTCAAATGCACACAAATTAACATGAATGCACACAAATGCACTCAAATGCACACAAATGCACACAAACACACACAAATGCACACAAATGCACTCAAACACACACAAATGCACACTCACACCCCTCCAATGCACACAAATGTACACAATTGGGCACAAATGCACACAAACACACACAAATGCACACTCACCCCCCTTCAGAGCTCAGCTCTTGTGCATGTGGTGCTGCAGGGAAGGGCTGATTGCAGGGAAGGCATTTGGTCACGAAGAGCTCTCGCCCTTCATTCATTTCCCAAGATTTGTTTCCATTCCAGTTCCATGCTTGCATTTGCCATTTGTAGGATCCCGTGGCTGCTTTCCAAGCATGACTGCAGCACACAGTGTAGGTGTTCAATGCATGTGTGCACTGGTGCATGCTAATGGCCGGGACACAGTGCAAACAGACAGCACCATGWCTAATGAGCTGTTTGCAGTAATTTCCAATTACTACGTTTGCAGTTTACCTTTGCTCCCCCCGCCTTCTTTTTTTGAGTCAGAGCCAGGAAGGGAGACATTTTGCCCCACATTTCCCAAAAGGGTTCTCAAAATGTTGGACATGACCTGCATTTATACCTCCACACACRCACATTGATTTTACTTGCTAAAATTTCACCATGCTGCACTTTTTATAACCACATCACTTCATGCARATTCCCTAGACTTGTTTCAAAATTYGGCCGCAGTTCTTGCARCAAGAAACCCAAACTTGGCAGAAGAATCTGGATTCTCATTAGGATGCGAATGAAGCTGGGCAGGTGGCAGTTTTTTCCCTCTCTTGCATTTTTAACCATCCTTTTTTATGTGAGTTGCACCTTTTTTCCTGATCTCAAAGGTGTCATGACCAAAGGAGTACAGACCAAACCCACGTGCAGCAGTCTCCTGATTTAGGCAGAGCATCTSTCCTCCCCGTTCCTGCAGCAGCAATATTTCTGTCAGCAAACATCTCTGATCTGCAGAGACATTCGATTCTGGTCCAAGTGTTCTGAGCTGGGCCAATCCCTGGGGTTCAGTCACGATTATCATCAYAATAATTATCATTAACATCTGGTTTGGAATGAGCCAGGAGATACCACACATGGGAGCTGCAGAGAAATGACCCATCTTGGGCTCGTGTTTCCCAACCCCACTGTGAAGGGCGAGTGTTTTGCTCCCAATGTGAAGACAAAACTCTGACTGACACTAATGGGAATCATTTGGCTCCATCTCCACACCAAATATTCACTCCCACAACGCCTGCAGATTTTTTTATTCATTCCGACAACTGCTGCAAAATGGCATGGAAGAGAAAAAAAAAAAAAATAGAATGAAGGCTTTTCAGAGATAAAAATGCAGTTTAGCCAATAGTGACCTTGCCATGTTGGGCTGCTCTCCCCAGCAAGCGCGGAAGCCGTACGATGTCCGAGATGTGATCGAGCAGTACTCCCAGGGCCACCTCAACATGATGGTTCGCATCAAAGAACTTCAAAGAAGGTATGCCCTGTGTGCCTCATGAAATAGCTGATTCCTCCAGTGCCAGCTGGCCTCAGGAGAGATGTGTGCTTAATGAACAGTAATTGTCCAAAATTGCAAGCACAACGGGGAGCACAATATCTAGAGGATTTAACTTGGAGCCATTTTTAACCCATTTTATGACCAAGTTTACAATTATCCTTTATTCTGCTCYCCTTTTTGTCCAAGTGGAATTAAAAGAAATGAAGGTGCATGCTGTGAAGTTTATAGCGTGATCCAAGCTTTTCTGTCCTCTTCTCAGAAAAGGAAAGCTTTTCAAATAATGATTTACTTTTCTGTTTCCACTCTGTGCTTCTCCACAACTGAGAGAAATCTGTTTCACTTGTGCTGCACTATCTGGAACATTTCCCTGCCCACATTCCTCCATGCACATGCTTTCTCCAAGTTTGGGGTTTGCAGCTGAAATATTTTGCCACGAAACTCTTCTCTTCTTCAGCACAAAGTGCTTTTCTCTTTGCAAATTAATTCTGTGGACTGGGATACCAGAATGGACTCTCCTCTGGCCCTTAAATGAAATAAAGTAAAAAAAAAAAGAAAATCCTATTGAATGGAATCTACTGTGTCAACACATATAGATATTAAATCCGCCTGCATGAGGCTCTAGGAATAGTTGCAAATGTTATTAAGAAGYCATTTTGTTTGTACAGTCTTTGTTATTAGATTACACAGGACACTGGAGAACTCTGTTTTAGTTACAACTTGWAAGTCTGAGAAATATTGAAAAGAACAATAATAATATGGCTTGGTTTGGGAGGAAGAGCTCTTCAAGAGCTGAACTGCTGACTGTGTGTGCAGAAAGCCATGCTGGTCTCATGTTTTTGCTTGTTTTGGTTTGGGTTTAGAGCTACTGTAAATTCTCATGTAAATTCTGCTCCTGTGCTTAGCAACAGAGTTTAAATGGTTTGGTAATTGCTCTGCTGGTAATTCTGTGTTTGCTTCTCAGGTTGGACCAATCRCTGGGAAAGCCAGGTCTTTTCCTCCCAGGTATGGTGACTGCATTTGATGCAAAATTATTCTCTTTATAACTTCATCATTCTCTTCATAACTTTGGGAAAATACCCTTGGCTGCAGTAATGTAGATTTCTAATCCAGCCAATTATACATGAGTGTAATTCTGCTAATAAGCCCTGGAGTGCCTGTGTAGAGMTAAATAGCCTTCATTCAGATGGTAGAGGAGAAAATAGAAATTAAGAATAAATTTAAAATGTGTATCAGCACATGATGAGTTAGAAATAAATTGAGGGAAGCCTGTCCATAAAAAATATTCTTTCTAAATCTTTTGTGCTGGGATTACAATATTTATTGATTCCACTTTAAAAAGTTTCTTCCTTTCTGAACTCACGTCCCACGTCCCCCGAGTGACTTGGAGCACAGCTGAGGGTGGCAAAGTAATTTCAGAGCCTCTAAAAGCTGGCRTGTTATCAGTGGTTAATATTATTGGAACAAGGAATATCATTCAAAACACATTTTCAACSTCTGATTGCTGCAGAAGGCTCAGTAGTACAATCCTTTTTCCCTGTAGCTGGTTTTGGACCGCAGGAAAAGAATCTGTCAGCTTGAATGCTCTACAAATATTTATACTTGGGCATTCATTCCACAATGTGCAAGCTAAATTTATGGAAAAACATCCCTTACTTSGAAGAATGTATTCTTTATTTCAAGTATAGCATTACCCAACTGGAATTGCAATTTGTGCTCAAAAAGACGGGTGCTGGAAGCACTTTCTGTCAAACACTTTCTGGTTTCAGAGCAGATGAACAATTGGAAGCTCCCTGTGAAATAATGTTCTGAAAGGTGCAGGAAGCTGAAGATGTTCAGGCAGTTTGGTTTCACCAATTTTCGAGTCAAAAGGGTCATAGGAACCCCTGGGAGGGTCTTGGGTGGGGCTGAGGCTTCCAGCAAGTGTTGGGAAGGATCTAAAGCAGCAAGGAARTGACTGGAAAAGTGACTCAGTTTGGGGTTTCAGGACCAAAACCAGAAGTTATTAGTTCTAGTAGTTATTTTATCTACACCCCCCACAAATCCAAAAATCAGATGAGTGGTTCCAGAGAAAAGGGGTGCAGAACTAAATCCAGAGTTGGTTTGCAATTCCTCCTGGTGCTGTCCAGCCCACCCCTGCTCCCAGTATCTTCCAATGGTGAACTGTGCTCAGTGGGTGTGGTATTTGTGTGTTTGGGTTTCAAACAGACTCCTGCACTGTCCYTCTCCTCTGGAAAAAGGGTTTCCCCTGAGCTTTCCTCAGAATGCATCCTTATTCTATACCGAACATGCATTTTCAATATCACACTTCATACTTTTCCAGGCACTGCTAAAACCCTCATTTTTAACCATATGAGTGTTTCCCCTGGCCTGTGTTATTTTTGTATTGATGGCAAGCACCAAAGAAATGACAATGCAAAGAAAATTAAACTGCCGAGGAGAAAAACATGAAAAGAATTTTCCTTTACAGCTCTTTTTTTTTTTTTTTTTTTCCCTGTTTTATTATACTCCCATTCAAAGAATCCTCAGGCCTGATTCCAAGCCCGTTGCAATGAATGGGAATCTTTCCAGTGACCTCAGTGGGGTTTGGATCAGGCTGTTATTGAAACCCTGTTGTCAACTTTGATAATATTATGTCAAGTAATTGCAGCCTGTCTATAGCATTATTACCTTTCAAAAATGAATGATGTCATGAAAGACCCAGAATCTGAATTCACTGGAAGCAATTATTGTTATTTTTCCAGTTAGTTTCTCCAAGAAAAAAAAAAAAAGCATTAAAAGCTGTGTTCAAACAAGATAAGGACTGGAGAAGAGAATAAAAGCCACCCTGGGTCAGAGCAGCCCTGACTCGGATGGAGCCAGGAGAAGGTGCTTTGGGAAAATAATTTAAAAAACCCTCCAACCTTCCTGCAAGCTTTCACCTTTTAAACACCAAGGCTTCCTGGCAAGGCTGCACTGTATTTAGTGCTCAAAATGCTTTGTCCACAACAAACTTGGCTAATTATCCYGATAAACTCACAGCATCTGCCATATTTTGTACAAATATTCTCATCATTTCACCTTCTCGTGTGCACATTGTGAGGAATTCTCCCCTTTCATTTGTTCTGGTGTTGGTGTCTCCAACCTTTATTTGAAACTCCTACAGCCAGGAGTGGATTTAAACCACTAAAGTAAATAATCCAATCCCATTTCCAAKGACCTGCACCCCATTTTTATGAATATCCTCAGGAGAATGTCTGAGTTGTATTGGAAGCTATTTGTATTTCCCAGCTTGTGTTCCAGGGGACACAATTTTATCAGGTGAAACAGATTCCTGTCACCATAAACATACGCCTTAATAACAGAAAGTGTTGGTACAGAGGTAAAGAATATATTCATAGAATTTATGGACTCAACAGACACATATAAAGATACCAATAAAAAGAGTGTCATACTTGACCTTCCCTACACACRATGGACTTAACTGCTTTGAATGCACTTTTTGAAAATTACTACAGCTTTGTTATGTTCATGTATTTATGCTACTCTACTATTACCAGCTTCCTTTTTTTTTTTCTTCAAATACAAGAGATACAATTTTTAGTTTGAATTTGTCCTCCACCTAATGGATGTCCCATTTTTATTCTTCTTTCTTTAGAAAAAGGAGTAGACAAAGGATACTACAGCATAGGAGCCAGACTGATCCGGCTGGAGGATAAGGTAAGTGCATGAAAGCTTGCTTTTTTYTTTTTTTTTTTYCTAAGCAATGATATCTGATCTAGAGACCTGCAAGATAGTATCTTGGCATGATTTACTTCAGAATTACAGAGCTCCATAATCAAGAATAATATCCTAATTTTTGTGAGGGAGTTGATGAAGTATCATGTGTTCAGCATTTACCATTTACCTGCTCTGGTCCTTGGTTATAAAAGTCACACAAGAATTGTGGAATTAAGCAGAAGTGTCAGRAATCTTTGGGAATAGCAGCAGTTGGCATCTGAGTTACAAATCCTGAGATTCCTCGCTATTTGCTGCATTTGAAATTGCCTGTTTGTATCCTTGTCTCACTCAAATTTGTCGTGCAAATTCGCTTTTCACTTTTTTCTGTGCAAGTGAGGCAGGAAGGAAAGAGGAAGGAAACTTTCCATAATTCTTAAAAACTGTGCATCTTGCCAAAAAGCAGAAATTGAAATTAAACTAATACAATCTCCTAGGACAACATTGGAAATGTGTGACACTGCAATGYCAAAGGACAGATTTTCTCTCATTTTTAGCTTTCTTGCACAGTGTCAGGATCAGCCTCGCAGATAAAGACATTATCTGAGTTAACTTTTAAAGTGGTTKGTGCCTTGTGCAGACACAGCCATTCACAGTGAAAATGGCTTTCATTCAGTTTGTCTTTTTCACTCCAAAGGAGATAAACTCTGTATATTCTGTAAATTCATGCCATGACTTCATTCAGGTTTCTTGAATATGCATATAATGAGAAATGCACAATAGAGATTGAAAATCCTGCAATAAAGGTGTGTGTGACAATGATTGGAGTGCTTTGAGTGAGAAATCCTGCAAATATTGCAAATTACCCTGGAACAGCAGTTCATGGGGTCCTGATTGCTCCRTGTTTATGAAGGAGAGAGGTGAGAAAGTTTTTAGAGTGTCTGGCCTTGGTCCAGCTTTAGCACAGTGCTGTGTGAATGGATCAGTTTTATTTCAAATCCTGGTTTAGAGTGCTGCAGAGGCATTTTGGTGTGAGGAGAGGAATGTTCCAGGAGGTGCAGGAATTGCTGCAGTGACTGATCTCTGTGCAGATCTCTGCTTGTGTTCTGCCTTTCATTTCGTTTAGGTGTGATCTGTGTAAATCACTGCAAGCTCAAGCCCTTAGTGGGCAAGACTCAGCTGCTCCTTTATTTAAGGAATTAAACTTGGGCCTTCAACTTTTGCATGGGAACTGGTGATTTCTCTCTCCCTGCTTATTGTTGTGGAGAAAACRCAAACAAAATGTATCAAGATGTTTTCATGAGAGGAGTCGATGATTGCAGCTTCCTTTACAGTTCTCAGACCAAACTGTAAATGTAAAATAAAATGCCAGACTTGGAKGGAACCCAGGGTATTTGATCTTTTAGTACAAAGGATCTTTCTTTTGGGTGTCTGGGGCTTCACTCTCGTATTGCTGCTAAGAAAGTAGATGTGGTGCAGAAAAAGGGCAAATAGTGGTTGTGTAGGTTTGCTCAGGGTTTCGCTGCCATGTGTTTGGGGGTTTTGGTTTATTTGGTTTGTTTTGGGTGTTTTTTTGTATYTGCATCTTTTTGGCACTTTGGGCTAAAATGCATAGTGAGTACCTAATGAACACAAGGTTGACATAATGAATACAAAGTTCAGCTTCCCAGATATCTATTTTAATGAGACAATAGAAACTRCTGCATCCTGCTGTCACACTGCTTCCCCTAAATCACCTTCCGATGTCTCATGGGCTCTCCTGCTCCAGCCATTCACTGTGGAGGAGCTGCTCTGTGCCCAAATGTGGTGAAGGAATATTGGAGTCAGGAGGGACAAGCTGAGCTTCAACCTCTGAGAAGAATAAATGAAGCAAGGGCATGTCTGACATCAGCTCCAGCTGGTGGTGAAAAATGATCTCCCCCTGGAACTGGAAAACCTTTGGGATCAACCKCTTCCCCCTGGAGAAATTATTTTAACATTCAGTCACCCACTCTAGTGCTGGCAGCCTCCCAAAAGCGTGACACATCTGATAAAATGACACATTTCTGGACAAAGGCCAGTCAGTGCACACTGATAAAAATGCAGTGTGGCTTTGAGCATTTTCCCTGCTGAAAGGAGCTGTGTCAATGAGCCATGAGCACACCTCTGGCCCAGGCTGACCTTCCCCAGCAGCATTTTGCAGTTCTTTATTTCAGTGTGTCTRCAGAAGGGAATCAGAGGGTGATTCTGAGATTCAGAGCTGGGGGTTGTTGTGCATAAAGCAGATGATTCCTTCTGCAGAGTGAGGGACAGAGCAGCACTTCTGATGGTCAGGAGGAGCTCCATTTCCTGCAGAGGTTTGCTGTTATTTCAGTTTAAACGTGGCATTTTCTATACAGAAAGGCAGAAATTGGGGTTGGTGCTGATGGGAGCAGCTTTGAGACACAGATGTTTTTGAGGTGCAAAGATAACAGCCTTGGACCATGAGAGCTCTGCCTACAGCCCCTCTTTTGTGACCAAACAGGCTCCTCCTGCAAGTTCACAGTAACAGGAGGAGATAAGAGCCATGAAACACCAAATCTACTTTTTTTTTGCCTTGAAGCATTTCAAAGCTGACTGGAAAGAGGTAAAAGGAGTGGTGGCAGCTCTGAGGCAGAAAAATCCACCCCCTTTTTGGCACCATCAGCTTCGTGCAAAGCTTCACTCCTGTCCCTGCCACAGCCCACTGCACACTGGGACTTTGCCCAGGACACTTTGCAGCCTTTTTTTGCCTCGAGCAGGATATCAAATCTCATTTTGGTGTGGCCAACGTGTGGTTCTTCTCACAMAAAGCACGGAGATGTTTAGAGGAAGAGCAGAGCTTCTTTCCCAACACGTGATGAGTGCCATTTGGCCGACCCCTCCCGTGCTTCCATGGCAGGGTTTAATTTCACATTGTGGTATGTAGCCATTGACAGATCCTTTTGAAATGTATTAAGAGTGAGATTGGTTCCAAGATGATGTTCTAGAGCTGGCGTTGGTTTCTTTTGAAAATTGTAAACTAATGCTTCTTTACGATGAAATGAGTATTCTTTCTTTTCCTTTCTTTTCAAAATTAGAAACAAAAATCATGGTGTGCTATGTCAAACTGCACAGCAGCCTATAAATAAAAACAGGAGAGAAAAGAATCTGCAAATGAAAGGTTAGAAAGGACAGCTGTGTTGTCTTTGARAAAGAAATCTATTAGGTATTTTTATAATTATATGGCAGTCTTTTTTATGTGGTATTTACAGTTATGACTTATGTCCATATTACCATAACTATTTCCATACTTATAGACAACATGTGATAATGCTGAGAGCCAAAAGCAACCATTTGGTAGCATTTAAAAAATGCAGCAACACTAAGAGAAAATAGGGCAGTAAARCAGAACCCTTCTGAGTTTTATCCATCTGAGTAATGCGAGCCAGGACAAAAATGTCATCCAACATAAACAAATGTAGAGGTTGGATTGTGGTGGTAAACTCTCTCTTTACCAATTTAAACACTCGTTTTTCAGTTGGGACCKAAAAGATGGGCCCAGAGAAGAGTGGGGTGACCATCTCATTTCTCCTGGGTCACAAAGGAGGGATGGGTGCTGGTGAATCTGATCCCTTCTGTGATTAACCAGGAGCCATTAAATAGTGAATTATTTATCATGACAGTGCCTGCAACTAGCACGAAGGGCTGGGAGGAATTACCACTTTAAACCCCTAATTTGTGAGTGGGGTGATGGGCATAACTGAAAAGCRTTTTAAAAGAAAAAGAGAAAGGAGCAAAAAAGAAAAACAAAAGCTGAAAAATGGCGCACAATGAGTCAGTTCAGTATGAGCATGCTGCACTTCTGAGGTTTTGAGAAAATGTCTGAAATAACCCCCTTTGTTAACAAAGCCATGTTTTGGCACTGAGGTGTTTGTGGGTTGTTTGCCCCCAGTTCCTCAAGGATGGAGTCATCCCACAGCAGAAAGCTTTCCAGCAGGCTGTTTGCAAATGGATTATTTTAGGTCAAAGCCTTATCTCATTTACTCTGGAGCAGTCCAGCATGAATCCACTGACTCTGTGCCATCAGCATGATGTCATTGCAGCTTTATTTTTGATCTGTTACTGAATTAAAACAAAACTAAACTAACGAAAAATGAGAGCCCTGATGGCTGAGGCCGACTGGTGCTTCCATTTGTGCCAGTGAAGTTATTCAGGATCCACACGGGTGTAAACASCAGCAAATTTCTGCAATTTGACACAATCCTGCTCACAGGAGCGAGGTGAAAGCAGAAACATTTCAGAACCAATCTGAGTGAAACCACGTTTTTCACCTGTTATGACTGAGGTAATCTTTATGGTATGCTGTGTAGYGTAGAACTGAAATTGTATTCTTGTGCTGAAACACCAAGATGGGTTTTTCACCTGGAAATACAACTGTTTAGATGTCCCCCACACAGCTTTTCTGAACTGCCACTGACTCCTCAGAGCAGAGAGGAACTCCTGCAGCCCTGACTGCTCCTGGTTTTCTGGGATGGGTCAATCTTCCCAAATAAACCTTGTTTAACACACTKGAGAGGGAAAGGCTGGCTTTGAGCTGCCTGGGCTTGATGGTGATTTCTGGAGGATCAGGCAAAAGAGGAGCTAACTCTGATATCTTTTCAAGTAAGAGAAGAGAGATCATATTTTCTGAGGCGTGATGGAAAGAATCCTCCCTCAATGCTTCCCTTATGGTTTTTGTTGTGGAGCTGTATCATATGTGGTACTTGGTAGCACCCTCCTGTTATTAAGGTTCTACACACTTTCCATTACAGACTCTATTTTCAGTTCCTTCCATCTTTGCCAAACTCCAGCCATCTGGGCTGAAATTCCCTGAGGCAGATGTCTGCCTCAGGCTGAGATCCTTTCCAAAATTTGTATGTCAGATACAAATCAGATCCTTTCTTTATCACAGTAACCTGACCCGCTCTGAGGATTCTCCCAAAAGTAAACAGAAAAAACACTGATGGAAAAATACTGAGCTTCTT